GTCCAACCCAAAATCGGTTTGACTTGGTTAGTCTGGTTCAACCAAATTTCCAACAACGTCGATCCTCGATCTGGATCTCCCTATTATCAAATCGCCATCGTCAACATCATCACCGTCGACATCATTAACAGATCTAATCGCTGATAGTCCTCTGCCTCAATTCATCAATATGCCTCCCTTCCAGTCGCTGCATCAATTCTCGTCGCCATCACCCAATCATGGTCACAGTGCATCACTGCCATCGCCTACTCAGTCAGTCATTAGATTCGCCGATATCGGTGTGAGGTCGATGAACCGGTGGAGCTCGAGCAAGGCATTGAAGATGGGTTGAGGATTGGATTCGTTGATATGAAACTCCCGTGGGACGCTCCTGCTGACGATCCGACTTTGTTCATTCACGCGCCACTGTCATCGCCATCGCCTTTAGCTCCCTGTCGTGGCCAAGCAGTGTGTTTTTGCAGTAGGCGACAGATGATTTGACTCATAGTGTTTGTTGCTTGATGATGAAGTTGACTTGACTGGTTTGGGATCCTATGATCTCCAACACGGTGGAGATGGCATGGGGTGATAAGGAGGAGCTCTACTCGGAACAACATAACAACTTTCCCCTATCTCGCCACTATGTGACTGTTGCTTTCTGTTGCTCTCCACTATGTGACTGTTGGTTCTGTTCCTTAGTTCACGTTGCTGGTTGCTTCCCTGCGTAGGAATAGCTTTCAGTTTCAGTTTCTGAATGTATAAATACTTGTGATTAATACAATAACACTCAGGATTCTCTGAGCACTTACATGGTATCAGAGCTCAAATAAACTCAAACGAGTTACATACCTTTCTTTTTCTCCCTTTTCTGTCTTCTGCTTCTGCTTCTTCCTCCTCAAATGGCTACTTCCTCCACTATGTCTGATTCCTCTTCTCCATCCATTCAATCTCCTTCTCCCCAGCGCCTGCTGGTTCCTTCAAATCCCCAGCTCACTGTCAAATTATCTCCAACCAATTATTTACTATGGCGTGCGCAGATTAACCCTCTGCTTTGATGTAATCGTCTTATTGGACACATCGATGACACTCTTCCTCCTCCTCTCTCCATGGTCGAGGGCCAACCCAATCCAGCCTACGCCATCTGGTACGAGAATGATCAACTCGTCCTTGCCTGGATTAATCTCTCTCTCACGGAAGCCGTGATGCCCACCATTGTCAACAAGACTACTGCTCGTGATGCCTGGGATGCACTCGCCACAGTCTACGCCTCGGGTTCTCCCGTCGTCATCGGCCAGCTCCGCAAAGATCTCCTTAGCCTCTCTCGTGGCAATGAGACGATTCATGAATATATTCACTGCGCCAAGGCTATATATGACAAGATGCTTGCTCTCGGCGCGACTGTCACCGAACAAGAGCTGGTGATTGCTCTTCTGGATGGCCTTGATGAAGATTATCGCCCTTTCACTCGGAATCTGGAGGCGCGTCTGGAACCTATTTCCTTTGAAAACGCGAGCAGCCTGCTTCTTAGCGAGGAGATGCAGCTCCAACGATTCCGATCGGCGTCTGCTGCTTTGTCTTCTCCACAGACCTTTTATTCCGCTCGCGGGGGGCGGTCCGGCGGCCGGTTCTCACGTGGCCGAGGCGGCCGTTTTGGAGGCCGTGTATCTTTCCACCAGGCCCGATTTTCTCACCCTAATTTTGCAGGTGGGCGGCCCAATGCAGGAGGAAGTCGGCCTACCTCATCTGGTGTGCTTGGGGCTGGGCCATCCGGCCCATCTAACATGGTGTGTCACAATTGCGGCGGGAAGGGCCACATCCGCCATCATTGCCCAGCCCATTTATTTCAGCCCCACCCACGTATCATCCTGGCCCTGCATCCCATCTTGCCCAGTCCTCCCATCCTGTTCCCTCCTCCCAACAGTGGCTCCTTGACTCCGGTGCCAATCACCATCTTACCTCCGACCTAGGGAATCTGATTCATCACTTTGAATATACTGGTCCTGATCAAGTCACTTTTGGCAATGGTAAATCGCTACCCATTTCTCATTCTGGTTGCTCTCACGCGCGTCTGTCTAATAATTCCTATGTTCTGGACAATATGCTTCGCGTTCAAAATGCTCCTCAAAATCTTCTCTCTGTGAGCTCTTTGACTCGTTCTAACCCTATTTCCATTGAATTTTTTGATACCTATTTTGTGATCAAGGATCGCCGCACGAAGGATGAGCTATATCGTGGTTCTGCGCGTGATGGCCTCTACTCCCTGCCTCTTCATATCCAAAGTCGCACTCTTCCTCGTGTCTTCACTGGCTCTCTTGATCTCTGGCATCAGTGCTTGGGCCACGCAAATCTCCGTGCTGTCAAACAACTTTTGTCTACTCATTCAATAAAGTATCATGATAGTCCTGCTTCTTTATGTCATGGATGTTCTGTTAGTAAGATCCATAAGTTTCCCTTTCCTTCTTCTCAATATCGTGCTTCTGCGCCTTTAGAACTCATTTGTAGTGATCTTTGGGGTCCTGCTCCTCTTCTTTCTTATGATCATCAATCATATTATGTCTTATTTTATGATCACTATAGTAAGTTTAGCTGGGTGTATTTTGTGCGTTATAAATCTTAACTCCTCAATGTCTTCATTCAATTTCCTCAGTGTCTAATGCTTGGTCGCTTCATCAGCTCGACATATCGAATGCCTTCTTACATGGAACTCTTAAAGAGGAGGTTTATATGCGCCAGCCAGTTGGGTTCGTCGACTCCGAACATCCTGACTATGTCTGCCGCCTACGCAAATCCATCTATGGATTGCGCCAAGCCCCCAGAGCTTGGTTTCACTGTCTTTCTTAGGCACTTCGGGATTTTGGCTTTGTTGCATCACACAACGATCCATCCCTTTTCATTTACCGGACTGATTCTGTGCTTCTGTACATGTTGGTATATGTTGATGATCTTGTCATTACAGGCAACAATTCGGCAGTCATACAAAGCTTCTGGTTCATCTTCGATCCAAGTTTGCTCTTCGCGATCTTGGCCGTCTCTCATATTTTCTTGGGCTCGAAGTTCATTATACACCTACCGGTTTGATCCTCAATCAGCGGAAGTATATTCTGGAACTTCTTGAACGCTCAGGCATGGCCCAAGCTAAGTCCATATCTACACCCTGCACACCGGAATAGCTTATTCAAAGTGGGTCAGACTTGTCTCCCGCTTTTGATAATCCAAGTTTATACAGAAGTATTGTGGGGGGTCTACAGTACCTGAGCTTCACTAGGCCTGACATCTCCTTTGCGGTGAATCATGTCTCGCAGTTCCAACATTCTCCCACGGATGCACATTGGGCAGCAGTAAAACAAATCATACGCTATCTTCAAGGCACCATCACACAAGGGCTGATCTTTCAAAAGTCACCTCATTCCCAGCTACATGGATACTCTGATGCATCCTTTGCTTCCTGTCCTAAGGATCGCAAGTCCGTCTCTGGGTACGCGGTTTTTCATGGACAGAATCTGATATCCTGATCAACTCGGAAACAGAAGGCGGTGGCCCGGTCTTCAACAGAATGTGAATACCGTGCCCTTGCTACTCTTGCGTCAGAGGTCATTTGGTTACAAGCCTTGCTGGCCGAACTTGGCCAATCCCCTTCCTCGGCTCCTATTCTATGGTGTGATAACTTGGGGGCTACATATCTGGCGCACAATCCGGTTTTTCACACTCGATCCAAGCATCTCGAGATAGAGTTTCATTTTGTGCGTGATCGAGTCAACAAGCAGCAACTTCATGTCCGTTATCTTCCGGCAACCGATCAGCTTGCTGATGTCCTTACGAAGCCACTCACACGGCAATCCTTCCGTCACTTCTGCTCCAAGTTTCACCTCTCCGAGGCTCCACTTGCGGGGGCGTGATAAGGAGGAGCTCTACTCGGAACAGCATAACAGCTTTCCCCTATCTCTCCACTATGTGACTGTTGCTTTATGTTGCTCTCCACTATGTGACTGTTGGTTCTGTTCCTTAGTTCACGTTGCTGGTTGCTTCCCTGCATAGGAATAGCTTTCAGTTTCAGTTTCCGAATGTATAAATACTTGTGATTAATACAATAACACTCAGGATTCTCTGAGCACTTACATGGGGTATTTCGGGAGGAAGAAAGCCGTGGACGGCTGGACGCCATGATTAGCGAAGGGTTGATCGAGAAGTTGGTGGAGCTGCAGAGGTCGGAATTGGGTGGTGATTTGATCGGAATGGAGAGGAGGGAGAGGAAGGAGAAGGGGGTTTTGGAGAGGCATCCGTTCGCTATCTGCGTGGCCAAATTCGCCATGCAGTTGGAGGTCGGGGAAGGATTGCAACAGAGTGAGAAGAGGGCTCTGAAGCCGGAGATTTTGCAGGCAAGTTAAGGAAGGCTGCGTCTCTAACGTCGAAGCCGCCACCATCATCAACACGGTTTGAAGAATCTCACAACTTGGAATATTGCATGAGCAGGGAGGTTGACTTGGCTATTGCTTTTGAGAGGAGGGTCCTCCTGGGTTGCTTGGTTACATCGTTACAAGCTCAAAGGCATAAGCTTTTGAAGCTTGAATAAACCTCAGTCAGGCTAGTGAATTTGGAGTAAGTTGCTGAAGATCAAGGCATGGTTTCAATGTAAAATGTATGTAGAAGGCCCTGGTAGTGTGAGTTGGATGGGTATGAGAATGGATAATAACAATGAAGAAAATGTGGGAGGTACTCATAACTAATCACATTGTTGTTGAGCGGGCAAAGCTTTTATGGTCGAAGTATTCTAAATCTCGAGATAGAATGCTTACCTGGTTGGTTATGAAGTGGAATCATGTGGTATCGGAGTGATAACTAGTGGTAAAAAATATTGAAAATTGTTATAATTTTGTAATCACAACGAATTATTCAATCTATGAAAATAAACACGATATAAGTTAAAACAAAAAATATATAAATCAATTAAAAAATAGAAAAATATAAGCCATTTTAATTTCAATTCTTAAATCTGGCATTACTCAAAATTAAGAAATCATATATGATTGTATATTTATGCACCGTTTACATTAAAAATAACACTTTTTTTTTTATAATTCGGATATTGTAGTAGTATTAGTGGGAAAGAAAATTGCGATAATAATGATGAGAGTTGAGACACAAGCGAGAGGAAGGGGCTTGGTCAAAGAAAGAGAAAGAATTTGCGTGTTTGTTGCCCACTTCGTCTTCGGATCGCCCACGCTTTCTCCCCGGAGCTTGTCCTACAACTTCAAAGGTTGCAGTTAATTCATTCAGAACTCCTCCCCGTCGTACATAACTTTCTTTCTTGCTTCTGCAACAACAACAAAAGAAAGTGGGCAGTAAAACAGAGTTGAAATCACCTTTCATTCCTTTCTCTCCTTTCCCAGATCTCCATTTCCGACCCACCAACAAGCAAAACGGCAAAGGAAAGGATTCTCTGCTCTCTTTCTTTTCCCCCTTTTAGTTTCTCTCCGCCTTTTCCCACTTTCCTTGTTCGCCTCCCACTTCTGCAATCTTCTTCCTTTTCCACATTACTTATTTATTTCATCCTGACCTGACCATCACATTGAATTCCTACACCTCTCTCTCTCTCTTCCTCTTCTTTTAGCTTCTCTTTATTATTATTATACAACAATCAGAAAAGATGGGTTTGCTTACATTCCCCAGTAAGTAAGGAAAGCATATCGATTCTATGGTAATGGCGCACAGCATAGATTGGACGCCTAATACTCCCCAATAATAACCAGTAACAACACACCACACATGGCCACTGCCGGCGTCACTGATTCCTGTTTATCTTAACCCTGCCAAGACAAACAAACAACAAAAGGATGTGGAGGAGATTGTTATGGCGGCCGCCGTCTTGCTCCGCCGCGGTTGGAATAGGCGGTGGAGGAGTGGTATTGAGATTGCATCCACTTGTTTCTCCCCCGACCTCCTCATCGTCAATTCCTTCTTCTGTCGTATCCGGAGGAAGGCGGAGGCAAGCCGAAACCGTCTTTTCATTATCCTCCTTCTACTCCTCTTATTCCTCGTCCTCCGACTCTACCCACGGCGGCAAGGCGACACCGCCACCGCCCGCCGGAGAGGGAGGGGATAATGGCAACTACAGCAATAACAAAAAGGGCGATGAGACACTGAGCTGCACGGAGGCGAAGAGGCTGATGAGATTGGTAAACGTGGAAGCCCTGAAAAGCAAGCTGGGTGTGGAACGGAAGGAAGTCATCCCTTACGACGACCTCCTCGCCGCTTGCCGATCCATAGGAGTCGCTCGATCTCAAGATGAGGCCGTCGCTTTTGCTCGCATCCTTGACGACGCCGGCGTCGTCCTTTTGTTCCGGGACAAGGTTTATCTTCACCCCGATAAGGTATTCCCCCTCCCACTTTCCAACTTTCTGTGTATCTGGGTTTGATTGATGTAGACTGAAATATCGGACTTCCCATTTGCTCTGTTAATGCCATTGACAATGTGAATGCACATTCTCTAGCATTACCCTTTATTCACATTTCTATCTAGAATGAATGTGTCCCACACTGTGTATGATTCTTGCATCATTTGGCATTGAAACTGGCTGCTCTCGGAGGCAGGAGGATGTCTCTGATACCAGAACACAAACAAACCCTATTCTATACTGTGAGTTAGATTGCTATTCGAGACAAAATCAGAGCAACTTTCACTCCCAAAACAGCTATTTTATTCTGGTTTTTGCACAAGCCGTGCAATTGATAAGCCCCAAAAACTCCATTCATACCGTCTGGTTCGTTAGGTTTCTTTATCAGGGTAGTTCCAAGTGATGATGCAATTTGAGTTGAGCACAACAAATCAACAATAATGTCCTGTCATTTATCCATACATCAGGCAATTTCCTTCTCCCCCATTGAGTTTGCAAGGTCTTCCCTTCTGATGTCTGAAGCTATCAGGCTTCCCCTTTTGACATGACTTCAGTATTGGACCACTGCACTGCGTCTTCTTTTAAATCCCACTACTCAAAATAGCTGATTTGAACTCTCGTACTAAGTCGCGGAACTAGAATAATACGCGAACTAGAGTCTCACATTGTTCTTCATAGTTCGCCTTAACGATATCATACTGTTTGCTTAGGAAATTGGTTTGGGTTCAGGTGGTAGATCTGATACGAAGAGCAGTTCCACTGGCCCTAACACCAGAGAACGACCCGATGAGGGATGAGCTGAAGATTCTGCGGGAAAAGAAGGAAGAAATTGACGTACTAGCACATACACAGGTGCGGCGCATTCTATGGGGAGGCCTGGGGCTAGCTGTTGTTCAGGTAGGCCTCTTCTTCCGACTCACTTTCTGGGAATTCTCGTGGGATGTGATGGAACCCATTGCATTCTTCACAACCACAACTGGGATCGTGATAGGCTACGCATACTTCCTCTTCACTGCAAGAGACCCAACTTACCAGGACCTCATGAAGAGGCTGTTCCTGTCGAGGCAGCGGAAGCTGTTCAAGAAGCATAACTTCAACGTTGAGAGGCTCAAGGAGTTGCAGTGCAAATGCAAAACACCCTGTGATGCTACTACCTTCATTAGAAATCGGACTGGGATGGAGCTAGAGCTAGATGATTCCTTTAACAAGGATTAACCAACTTTTAACCCCCATTTTTGTTTCTTAGTTGACCCATGCCTAGCTCCTTTCTACACGAATATATATGACATAAACCAGTGTAGTTTCCTTCTCCTTTTCAAGCTTGGGTAGGGAACACATTGTGAATTTCTCTTTTTTGTTTGGTTCATGATTTTGAGTCGGCCAAATGCCAGGGTTTTGTACTCATTTGCAGACTGGTGTTGGTGTGCTCTCAAGCTCTAAGAACTGTTACTATGATAAGACTTTTTTCGGGTACAAAAAGAAGATATGAAAGGCAACATTAACTTGTTTCGTGATTTTCTTTCAAAGTCCAGTCCAGCCAGTAACCCACTGGAAAAAGAGCTAGGGTTTCCTCTCCGATTTTCTCGGAGCGGTGTTTTCCCTGTAGCGGGGATTTGCAATGACCGGAGCGGCGCCGGGGGCTCCCCCCTCGGCAGACCGCATGCTTGATCCTGTGACGGGTGCTCGGCGGCCTCCGTTGGCGTCCTCGTCGCCAAACAACCGTACTGAGAAGGAAGCGCAACAATTACGTAAGCGGGCAAAACCTTCCATGGCAGCCCAATTGTTCGGTTCAGAAGTGATGATGGAGGATGGACCCAATGTGGACGAAGCAGTTGAGAACGAAGCCACCAAGCCTCCTAATGCTTGGGGCGGGCGAAAGCTCTTCGCCGATGTGTTATCGGGTGATACCTGGTACGTGGCGGAGTCTGACTCCGAGGACGTTGCTCAAGCCATGCGTGAGGAGGACCATGACGATGAAACCCCGGAGGAAGAAAACCCACGGTGCCCGTCAATTCTTTTTATGGCCATGGAGAAGCAGCGCTTTCGTCGTAAATGGCGTTCGGCCCTAATAGTTAAAGTTCTAGGCCGTACCTTTCCGTTTCCTGTCCTCTCGAAGCGGCTGGAATCCCTTTAGGGAAAGCATGGGGGGTTACAGATTTCGAGTCTCTCATATGGGTTCTATGTGGTGCGGTTTGCTAGTCAGATGGATTATGAACTGGCTGCGGCTGGCGGCCCTTGGGTGATAGGAGGACATTACTTAACAGTTCGTCATTGGAGGAGGGGCTTCAATCCCAAAACGGCGGACGTGGCCTCTACCATGGTATGGGTTAGGTTACCTGAACTTCCCCTGGATTTCTTTGATCGGGAGGCGGTGGAGCGGATTGCTCAGAGAATTGGTCGTCCCGTCAGGGTGGATAGAGCCACCTTGACCTGTGAGCGCACTCAGTATGCCCGGGTAAGCGTGGAGATTGACCTCACGAAACCTCTTCTCTCTCAATATCGTATTGAAGGGAAGACGTATTACATTGTGTACGAAGGCCTGTACAACATCTGCACAGAGTGCGGGAAATATGGCCATGCAGCTACGTCATGCCCTATGCTAGCTCGCGAGACCCAGCCAACCCCTCAGGCTTCCCAGCCGGAGCAATCGTCTCAGGAGACCTCGAACGAGAAGGTTTATGGAGAGTGGATGGTGGCGAAGCCGAGGAAGCGACATACTCAGGGAGGCAACAAAAAGCAGCCGTCGACTGATCATGAACACTTATCGGGATCAAGGTTTCAGGTTTTAACAGAGGAGGAAATGGACACGGAGAGCACCGAGACTCAGAATATCCCTCCGGCCACCAAGAGTGTGAGTCAGAACAGGGTAAACAACAAGGAAAGTGGCCCGAAACCGGCCAGGGAGGCGCCAAAAGAGGTTGACATGTCTGATGTCAGTGAACCCATATTGAAGCCAGCGGGGCATAACCGTGCTCCTCCCCAAGACGAGATGGTACAAGGGGAATCATTAGTGGATGTTCCCATTGGCATGGTGACTGTCACGCCAAACACCAATTCCCCTCCACCGGACGTCCGCATTGTTACATCGGTGAGCTCAGGGTCTTCTCACTTTGTCATTCCTGCCCAGAGGGTGGTGGGGCATTCACCTCAACCACCGGGATTGGTTCCGCCTAGCAACTCCAATGTGGAAAACCAGAGTTTCAGCAGCGTAGCGTTGAGCAAGGGGGGTGGGGATCTCCATCCTTCTGGAACGGAGCCTTGACTTTCTTCGCGTCTTGGTCTTTAGGGGAGTTCTCGTTTTCCTTTCTTAAGTTTATTTAATGTTAGACATCCTTTCTTGGAACTGCCAAGGGGCAGGAAATGACCAGTTTTTGACTTTTTTGTCTTCCTTTTGTGGGTCTTCTCGACCCGACATTGTGTTTATTTTTGAGCCTCGTATTAGCGGGGATAGAGCCCGTAAAGTCATTGCTCGCACAGGCTTTGATGGGGTACTTCTGATGGATGCGTCTGGCTTTTCAGGTGGCATTTGGGTCCTGTGGCAGGAGCAGAATTTGGTGGTTACGCCGGTGAATGCTTGGGAGCAGATGATTCATTTTAAATGTGCTAAACGCCAGTCGCCAGGTTCCCAAGTGCTTCTCTCGGCTGTTTATGGAAGTCCTATTATGGCTAAACGGGCTGATTTATGGGCGGAAATCCGAAGGCTGGAAAGGTCGGTGAGATTACCGTGGTTACTGGCGGGCGATTTCAACTCTATACTGAGCCCGGCTGATCGGATGGGGGGAGCTCGTTTCGAGGAAGCTCGAGTACGCCCGTTCAGGAAATGTATTGATGATTGTGGACTGCTAGAAGTGGACTTCTCCGGCCCCAGGTTTACTTGGCGGAGAGGCAACTTATATCAAAGACTGGATCGTGCTATTTGTAACAGAAGATGGATGGTCAAATTCCAGGGAACTATCACGAAGCACCTTGAAAGAATTGGGTCTGACCACCGCTCGATTCTGATTCGAGCGGCAACGGACAAAAAGCAATCGGGTGGACGCCCGTTTCGGTTCCTAGCGGCTTGGCTAGGACACGAGCAGTTTGGTGATATTTTGACAGATGCTTGGCGGAAATCCGATGTGCTTCCCCATCAACTGAGGATTCTCGAGGAAGAGCTCAATGTTTGGAATACGCAGGTGTTTGGTAACATTTTTAAGAGGAAGAAGCAGCTGGTTAGGAAACTCCGGGCCTTGGAAATTCATAATGAGGACTCGGCCTCTCCTGCTTCTCTTGAGGAGGAATCGAACACTCGATTGGAGCTAGAGAACACGCTTTGGCAAGAAAGTTTACTGTGGTTACAGAAATCAAGGGCTATTTGGATAGTGGAAGGTGATCGAAATACCCGGTTCTACCATCTCTCCACTCTTAAACGTCGCAAGTTCAACAGGATCTCTTGTCTTATAAGGGAAGATGGGACTTGGGTGGAGGAAGAGGTCGAGCTAAAGGACCTAGTCAGGAGCTACTTTGTGGAAATCTACTCGGCAGAACTGGGAGCTTCTCCTCGTCTCCCCAGCAATGTCGTGTGCCTTGACCAGGAGCAGAAGCAGGCGCTATCTCGGCCGATCCTTCAGGAGGAAGTGAGATGGGCCATTAAAAGCATGGGCAGTCTGAAAGCGCCGGGGAAGGACGGGTTTCAACCCGTGTTTTTCCAAAAATGTTGGGATACTATAGCTCCCTCGCTCTCGCAGTTCGTAGCCAGTTGTCTATCTACTCCGGAGGTGATCGCTTCGGTCAATGAAACCATCTTAGTGTTGATTCCAAAAAAAGAGAGCCCGGAGTTGGTGTCGCAATTTCGGCCAATTGGGTTATGTAATGTCTCCTACAAAGTCTTCACCAAATGCCTAGTCAACCGTATTAAACCCTACATGAAGCAACTGATCCATAGCACCCAAACCAGTTTCGTGCCGGGGAGGCATATCACGGATAACATCATTCTCCTGCAGGAAGTGGTGCACTCGATGGGTTTGAAAACAGGTAAGAAGGGCCAGATGGTTGCGAAGATTGATCTGGCTAAGGCCTATGACAGGCTAAGCTGGTCTTTCGTGGAGGAAACACTTAAGCTTGCTGATTTCCCGGAGAGCTTAGTGGCGGCAATTATGGCTTGCATCTCCTCTTCCACTATGCAGGTTATGTGGAATGGCAGTTTAACAGAGAGGTTCACTCCTTCGCGGGGTCTTCGCCAGGGGTGCCCGTTGTCTCCCTACCTATTCACCCTATGCATGGAAAGATTGAGCCAACTCATTGAGCAGTTGGTCTCTGATGGCCGATGGAAACCCATCAAAGTCTCGCCAGGTGCGCCCCCTCTTTCCCATTCTTTCTTTGCTGATGACTTGATCCTCTTTGCCGAAGCTAGTGAACAACAGGGACATGTCTTGTTGAACTGCCTGGAAACCTTTGGATTGGCTTCGGGTCAGAAGGTGAGCAAAGAGAAATTGGTGCTCTTCTTCTCAAAGAACACGCCGCGACAGGTTAGTACTGAGATCGTTCGCAGTATGGGCATTCCGGCCACTCAGGACCTTGGGCGTTACCTGAGGGTGCCGGTCTTGCATGGGCGAGTTACTCGAGATACTTACAAGTATATCCTTGACCGAATTGATAAAAAACTAGCTGGCTGGAAGGCAGAATCTCTAAGTTTTGCAGGCAGAGTCACACTGGCTATCTCCGTGCTCAACTCCCTCCCAACGTATGCAATGCAGACGACCCTTCTCCCGATGGCTATCTGCGACGAAATTGATAGGAGAGTGCGGCGGTTCATTTGGGGGTCGTCCTCTTCGGCCCGGAAGATACACCTGGTTCATTGGGATCAAGTGTGTAAACCGAAGAAGGAAGGGGGGCTCGGCCTTCGGAAAGCACATGAGCTGAACTTGGCATTCTTAGCCAAGCTGGCCTGGCGGTTTATGAAGAACCCAGAGGAACTATGGGTAAGAACCTTGCAAGCCAAATACTTTAAGCTTAACCAGGGGGTTTTGCAGGCCAAATCGAGCGCTAGGAGGTCAACAGTGTGGCGGGGAATTATGAAAGCGTGGCCCATTATGGAGGAGGGCACTCAAATGAGCATCAAGAACAGTCTGGACACGAATTTCTGGACCGACAGATGGATAGACTCGAGGGAGAGACTGGGTGATCTGACAAAGGCGGACTGCCCCCCGGTGGATCTTTCTCTGTCGGTGGCGGATTTCACGACTATGGCGGGTGAGTGGGATCTCCCTAAGCTCTCTCCTTTCTTTCATGAAAGTATGATTTTGCAGATTGTGGGAGTACAGGCCCCTCGACTGGATGCTGGGGCGGACGTGCCGACTTGGGGACCGGAAAGTGATGGGAGATTTCGAGTGGGTTCGGCGTACACCCTGGCCACCAGCTTCGACGAGGACCAACAAGAGGAGAGGTGGAAGAGAATTTGGAGATGGAAGGGCCCGGCGAGAGTGCCTCACTTCCTATGGCTGGCGTACATAGGGATGGCAGGAAAATCCATGGATCCGGTTGCCCGCCCAAACCCGAACCGGTCAAAACGGGTAAAATCCGTGTTGACTGGATCCGGGTAGGGGATGGATAATACCCGAAACATTAATTATCGGGGATGGGTAGGGGACGGATTTCATACTATCCGCCCCGAACCCGTGCCCGAATCCTTCTCGAGACCTGTCTTCCTCTAAACCTTTACTCCACCAAGCATGCGCCGCTTACCCTAATAAACACTCTGTGAATCGTGATGCTTGGAAAAATCAATGGCCTCTCATCTTCTCTTTTCCATTAATTACCTAGAGCATGCGATTTCCATCTTCCAGTACCCATCCATATACTCTGCTACTCCTTTACCCTTTAATTATAATTTTCTTTTCCAAGCTTTTACTGCTAAGTTCCGATGAGGCAGTTAGAGAATCGATAAAACTCTTCAATGGATGAGAAACAGCTAGCACTTGCTCTGCTGCCGCTGGCTATATATATAGCTGATGATGGCTCAAAATCCTAATTCTAATTCAGCGATTCTCATGATCTAAAAAAAAGCAATCCCTGCAAAAGAGAGAATTGCAAACCCAGCCTCAACCTAAACAACTTTCATCCTCTAAGGTCAGACTTCTTCTAATCTTCTTTCTC